TCTGACCCTCTGAAGTTCAGAAAGCTAAAAATATTTTAGACAGATCATCTTACAGTCATCTCTAGCAGCATTGTGACCGTTTTCTGTTTGTTCAACTTGAGAAGAAAAAGCAGTAGATAGAATTTCAGTTCCTTTAACTGCTGATTCTAGTGGCTGTCATCATTTAAAAAAGAAAGGAAGGAAAAGTAGCCTCCATGGTACTAGGATGGATGCTCTGGATAGGCTGTGCCCCCAGGTAGCAGCTCTGACTGGCAGTCATCATCACTGCTCCAGGTACGGATGCCAGTGCTAACCACAAGGCTGATGCCCACGTCCCAGGAGCTCTCCAGTACAGGGAGCGATCAGTTGTTATTAGCTTATGCATTATTGAAATTACAGGCCCACTGGGAAGATGCTAATTCTGCATTTTGTTTAGTACTTAGTGCTTGATGTTTATTATTCAAAGAGACAAACATCATCTCTGAGAAGACGTTGCTTATAACCGATTAAGGAAAAAAAAAAAAAGGGAAACAAAACACCTCCCTGGGCTTGGTTTAGGACCACTCTTCCTTTCTGTCTTTCATCCTAACCGCTTTTCCCTGACCAGGAAAGCATTGTTTCCTCTAAGAAGTAGTTGCAGCTACCAGTGTGTCTTGGGGAGGCTGAGTTGAACACCCTGGACAGCGACGTGGACAGTCTCTCTGGTTGTCATCCTCATCCCAGAGACCATTGTCCTATAGTGGAAGTGGCATGTTCACTCAGCGAGCACCATACAATCTTTGATCTCTCAAATATGGGTCAAACTTTCCTAACAAATCTCCTTTCTCTGTCTCCCAGGACACATTTACTAACTTGATTTTCATACACCTGTGATGTAACACCCATGGGTCTTTTTAGTCTTTACAATCAGGTTCTGCTAATCTTAGAACTGGGCCAAACCAGGGCTTCTTGTTGTGCCTATGCTGGGGCTGCTCCTTGCTGCGGTCCCTCTGCCATCCCTTTGTGCACCGAATGGGGTACCAGGCTGTGGCAGTAGCTCTATTCTGGCGTAGGGGACACTGGAGTAGCTCAGCTCATCTGGGCTCGGTCTATTTTGTAAGCAGCATTTAAACATGTTCTCCTTGGGCAGATCCAAGACTCCTTTTGTGCACTACAGGTTCTGGCTGGTGGCACTAGAGGTGTTAGTACCTGTAAGGCAGGTAACGGGAGCACAGCTGCCCTGCACAGTCACACTGAGCTGCTGTGTGTGTCTTGAGCTGGGAGTCTGGACATGGATCTTTTCCTTGCTTTACTTGTCTTCTCAAGTTAAAATAATCTCACTCCTTTTGAATCTTGTATTTTCCAATATCTATAAAGGGGGTCAGGAGTGTTTGTCCGAAGAGTATCTGTAATATATGTGCCCTCTGAGTTCCCCCTGGCAGAAGTTGTTTTTCTGAAACTTGGGACCAGCTTTGGTATTTTAAGCAGGTTTGTTGGCAAGAGACCCACTAGCAGCAGCAGGGATGGAGCATCATGTCTGTCTCACTTGGATTCTGCCCTGAGGGCTCACAATCTGTTTTCCCTGCAGCACCAAGCACCCTGTCACTGCTCAGAGAATGAGAGTTAACTGAGTGAGCCAGGCTTTCCCAGTGAGCCCGGGCACTCCTGCCTCAGGAGGGCAAGCGGCTTCCCCGGCAGCATGATTATTTGGGAGGACGCAAGGCTGAGTCCCTCTTAATTAGACAACGACTAGATAACCTACTTGGAAATTTGATTAGCATCTTCCAGATTTTCCACATGGAGAAGAGTCATCAGCAGCAGCTTGAAGGCCCAATTTTGTGTTTATTGCAACCATGACTTGGCTTTTTAAGCTAGTAGGATTCTGCCAGGGAAGACTGTGGGAGAGGATGTTCTCACCTCAAAAGTTTCTGCCCTCTTTGTATTTTGCATCTAACCATACACATACACACATTTCCTTATGTGACACTTCCTTGTTCATCCTCATGATGCAGTTTCCCCTGTATACCTATCTGTGTGCCCCATAGCATGAACTGGTCATCAGATGTGGGTTCCCAAAGAGGAGGGCTAGAAACCTGGGGAGGCAGCGCCCTTCAGACAAGGATAGTTTTGGGGAGGGACTTGGGAGCTGACAGCACCAGTATTCTGTGTGCCTCAGTCTTGAAGGGGGTATCGGGGCAACATGCCACAGCATTCACCTCTGCAGTGGTTCTCAAAGTGTGTCCCCTGACCAGCAGTGTCACCGTCACCTGGGAAATGCAGATTCTCAACCCCACTCCAGAACTACAGAATCAGAAACTCTGGGGTAAGGGCCCGGCAATCAGTTTTCACAGACCCTCCAGGTGATTCTGATGCATGCTCAAGTTTGAGAACCACTACATTATAATGATATATACTATTTTTAAAAGACTTTTCTACTTAAAAATTATTTTAAAATGTTAAACATATACATCATATGACCCAGCCCTTCACTCCCAGGCATTTAACCAAAAGAAAGAAAGACATATGTTCTACACAAAGACCTGTACATGGATGTTCATAGCAGCTTTACTCAGAATAGCTTTAAACTAGAAACAGGTCGGGGTTGGTAGCTCAGCCTGTAATCCCAGCGCTTTGGGAGGCCGAGGTGAGTAGATTGCCTGAGCCCGCGGGTTCAAGACCTGCCCAGGCAACTTGATGAGACCTTATCTCTACAATAAATAAAAAATTAGCCGGAGCCGGGCTCGGTGGCTCAGCCTATAATCCCGCGCCTTTGGGAGGCTGAGGTGAGTGGATTGCCTGAGCCCGCGGGTTC